CAGGTACCTGGAACACTTACCCAGGTAGATGGAACACCTACCCAGGGACCTGGAACACTTATCCAGGGACCAGGAACACCTGCCTGGGTACATGGAATACTTGCCCAGGGACATGGAACACTTTCACATCTGCCTGGAACACCTGCCCAGGGACCTGGAACACTGACCCAGATAGATGGAACACCTGCCCAGGGACATGGAACACCTCCCTGTGTGCCTGGAACACTCACCCAGGGTCATGGAACACCTGCCCAGGTAGATGGAACACCCCCCTGGGTACATGGAACACTTCCCTGGGTGCCTGGAACACCTGCCCAGGTAGATGGAACACCTGTCTAGGTACATGGAACACCTCCCTGGGTGCCTGGAACACCTGCCCAGGGACCTGGAACACCTGCCTGGGTACATGGAACACCTGCCCAGGTAGAGGGAACACTTTCACCACTGCCTGGAACACCTGCCCAGGTGCCTGGAACACTGACCCAAGGACATGGAACACCTGCCCAGCTACATGGAACACCTGCCCGGGTACCTGGAACACTTACGAGGTAGATGGAACACCCCCCTGGGTACCTGGAACACCTGCCCAGGGACCCAGAACACTTATCCAGGGACATGGAACACCTGCCCAGGTACCTGGAACACCTGCCCAGGTAGATGGAACATTTTCACAGCTGCCTGAAACACCTGCCCAGGTGCCTGGAACACCTGCCCAGGTGCCTGGAACACTGACCCAGGGACATGGAACACCTGCCCAGGTGCTTGGAACACTTGCCCGGGAACCTGGAGCACTTACCCAGGTAGATGGAACACCTGCCCAGGTACTCAAAACACCTGCCCAGGGACCTGGAACACCTCCCTGGGTGCCTGGAACACCTGCCCAGGTAGATGGAACACTTTCACAGCTGCCTGGAACACCTGCCCAGGTGCCTGGAGCACTTACCCAGGGACCCGGAACACTTATCCAGGGACATGGAACACCTGCCCAGGTAGATGGAACACCTGCCCAGGTAGATAGAACACTGACCCAAGGACCTGGAACACCTGCCCAGGGACCTGGAACGCCTCCAGGGAGGTCCCAGGGACCCAGAACACTTATCCAGGGACATGGAACACCCCCCTGGGTACCTGGAACACTTACCCAGGTACCTGGAACGCCTCCCTGGGTGCCTGGAACACCTGCCCAGGGACATGGAACACCTGCCCGGGTACCTGAAATACTTACCCAGGTAGATGGAACACCTGCCCAGGTGCCTGGAGCACCCGCTCAGAGCCCACCCCCGACCCCGCGAGGTTGCCTCGGGCGATTTTTGGGGGCTGCGTTGGCCCATTCGGAGGACGAGGAGGACGAGGAGTAGGAAGAGGAGGAGGAGGAAGAGCCCGGCGCGGCCCGAGGCGCCCGTGCCCCCTCCACGTGGGTGTCCGTCTGTCAGCACCGCCCGACCTGCCCGATGCCACCCCGAGCTCCTCTTGCCCAACCGCCCTTCCCTTCCCTTCCCTTCCCTTCCCTTCCCTTCCCTTCCCTTCCCTTCCCTTCCCTTCCCTTCCCTTCCCTTCCTTCCCTTCCCTTCCCTTCCCTTCCCTTCCCTTCTCTCTTCCCTTCCCTTCCCAAACCTTTCCCAAACCTTCCCAAACCTTCCCAAACCTTCCCTTCCCAAACCTTCCCTTCCCAAACCTTCCCAAACCTTCCCAAACCTTCCCTTCCCAAACCTTCCCTTCCCAAACCTTCCCTTCCCAAACCTTCCCTTCCCTTCCCTTCCCTTCCCTTCCCTTCCTTTCCCCTCCCTTCCCTTCCCAAACCTTCCCAAACCTTCCCAAACCTTCCCAAACCTTCCCTTCCCAAACCTTCCCTTCCCTTCCCTTCTCTTCCCTTCCCTTCCCTTCCCTTCCCTTCCTTCCCTTCCCTTCCCTTCCCTTCCCAAACCTTCCCTTCCCTTCCCTTCCCTTCCCTTCCCTCCAAAGGGCGCTTTGGGTTCCTCCGAGGCCCCGCGGGAGCCGGGAACGTCGCAGGGAAAGGAGGGAGGGAAGGAGGGAGAGGAATCCCAAACAGCCCCCGGGAGAACCAGCTTGGCACGGCCCGTCTGGCTTCTCCCATCCGGAAGGGTTTTGTTTTGTTTTTTTTCCTCCTCCCCTCCTGTCATTCCCAGCCGGATTTGATGATATCTCCCAGCCAGCCGCGGGATTTTCCTGGTTGTTATCCCTGCTCGGGAATCCTGGAGAGGTTGGGGGTTGGTTTTGTGGGGTTTTTCTGGCTGGATCGCTGCGTTGGAGGAGGAGGAGGAGGAGGAAGAAGAGGAGCAGCAAAGCAGGGACCTCTCCTGATCCAGGGAAGGGTTTGGAAAATCGGGAACAGGGAGAGTTTTATCCAGCCGGGGCCGAGGGGGAAGCGGCCGGGCAGCGATTGCTCCGCCCTGGAATCCGGCCAAGGGCGTCTTGAAATACCGGCTTGCAAAACTTTCACCAAAACGCGCCAGCGGGACCAGGTGCTTCGAGGATAACAGATCCGGGCTCTGACTCCGCAATCGGCCCCGCCATCTGCAGATCCAGGCGAAAACCATTACCAGGAATTAGGGATGTAATGGAACCCCAGTCCCTCGAGGCTCTTCCCCCTCCCAGCCCTGCTCGGCTCAGCGTTTTGGGGACAAAGAGGGGAGAAAAAGCTCTTTTCATCTCAGCTCTGGGTCAAGAATCCCCCCCCTCTCGGAGAGTAAAATCCCTCCTGGATTTTGAGCTCAGGTCTGGCAGTTTTCCCTCCCTCCCTCCAGCTGAATTTTCCCCGCGGGGAATCCAAACGTTTTGAACTCTGAAATAAAAGGGATTGAAGCGCCCGCCACGTGGCAGCCCCCGGGGGGGATAAACCCTGTCCGGAGAAAACCAAACCGGGGCTCAACCCAGCCAGGAGAGCAAACCTGGCACCCAAAAAAAAACCCCATTCCAGAAAACCCCGGTCCTGAAGCAGGGAGAGGGGGAAGAACCGAAGGATTCTTTGTCGAGCCTCACCCGAGAGGTTTTTCCCACCCCCCCGGCATTCCCGGCAGGAAAATCATCCTCCTGGAGGAGCCGCAGCTCCAGAGGCAGCAGGGAAAGGGATGGAGGGGAGGAGGAGACACCGATCCACCAGCTCCAACCCGCATTTCCAGGGCTCTGGAAGGCCCTGGAGGGTGGCAATTCCAGAAGGAGCAGCAAAGAGGGAAGGAGGGAGGGGGAGGCTCTGCCCCAGCAGCCCCAGGAAGGGCTCATCCCATCCCTGGGCACCACAAGGATGTTCCAGCTCTCCCACAACCCCCCCAGACAGACAAATCCACCCCAAGGACGTTCCAGCTCTCCTACAGCCCCCCCAGACAGACAAATCCACCCTCTCAGCCCCTGCTCTGCTCCCAGGACAGATGAAAACCAGCCAGTTCCTGGAGCTCTGGCCAGCCTGGGAGCAGCTGCAGAGGGGGGGATTTGTCTTCACGTTGCAAGGTCCTGTGTGAAGTTGAAGTTTCTGGAGCTGGGAAAGCTCCTCCAGCCCTGGAAAAACTCCTCCAACCCCAGGAAAGCTCCTCCAGCTCTGGGAAAGCTTCTCCAGCCTAAGGAAGCTCCTCCAGCCCTGAGAAAGTTTCTCCAGCCCTGGGAAAGCTCCACCAGCCCTGGGAAGGTCCTCCGGTCTGGGAAAGTTCCTCCAGCTCTGGGAAGCTCCTCCAACCCCAGGAAAGCTCCTCCAGCCCCAAGAAAACTCCTCCAGCCCCAAGAAAATTCCTCCAGCCCTGGGGAAGCTCCTCCAACCCCAAGAATGCTCTTCCAACCCCAAGAAAGCTCCTCCAGCTCCAAGAAAGCTCCTCCAGCTCCAAGAAAGCTCCTCCAGCCCTTGTAAGCTACTCCAACCCTAAGAAAGCTCCTGCAGCCCCAAGAAAGCTCCTCCAGCCCTGGGAAGGTCCTCTAGTCCTGGAAAAGCTCCTCCAGCCCTGGGAAAGCTCCTCCAACCCCAAGAAAGCTCCTCCAGCCCTTGTAAACTCCTCCAACCCTAAGAAAGCTCCTTCAGCCCCAAGAAAGCTCCTCCAACCCCAAGAAAGCTCCTTCAGCCCTGGGAAAGTCCTCTAGTCCTGAAAAAGCTCCTCCAACCACAAGAAAGCTCCTTCAGCCCCAAGAAAGCTCCTCCAGCCCCAAGAAAGCTCCTCCAACCCCAAGAAAGCTCCTTCAGCCCCAAGAAAGCTCCTCCAGCCCCAAGAAAGCTCCTCCAACCCTAAGAAAGCTCCTTCAGCTCCAAGAAAGCTCCTCCAGCCCTTGTAAACTCCTCCAACCCCAAGAAAGCTCCTCCAGCCCCAAGAAAGCTCCTCCAGCCCTGGGAAGGTCCCCTAGTCCTGGAAAAGCTCCTCCAGCCCCAGGAAAGCTCCTCCAACCCTAAGAAAGCTCCTCCAGCCCTGGGAAGGTCCTCTAGTCCTGGAAAAGCTCCTCCAGCCCCAGGAAAGCTCCTCCAGGCCAAGAACCACGGTTTCCCCTCAGACTCCAGCCCCGTGCAGCTCAGGGAGCTCGCCGAGGGAGGAGAGGGAGGGAGGGAGGGAAGGTGAACGACACCTCAGCTAATGAAACACCCCGGACCTGCTGAGAGGCAGTAAAAAAAAAAGGGAACAGCAGAGGAGGCAGCTCGGCCTGGTTATGCAACAGCTCAGGGTTATCCAACGACCACTGACACCCTAGAGGGGGCTCTTTGTTCTCAGCGAGGGGAAAAGGAGAGAGAGAGAGAGAAAAAAGCGCCACCGAGAGGTCTGAGTCACCGGGTTCACCCAGAGGCTCCCGAGGAGGACGAGGCCGACGTTTTTGAGGTGGAAACTTTTCCAGTTTCACCTGCCCGATTTGGGAGGCCCGGCTAATTCCCCCCGGGGCTCCGCCCACACCGCCTTGTAAGCCGGCTCCCTGCCGCCCTTGCATATATAGAAAGGTATGGCCCTCCCGCCGGGAGCAGCAGACGGAGGAGCCCGCAGGAGCCCCGGCAGCCCCAGCCCCCTCCCGCTCCCGCCATGAGGAGGGAAATCCTCACCCTGGCCTTCGCCCGGGCCGTCTTCGCCGAGTTCCTCTCCACCCTCATCTTCGTCTTCATCGGGCTGGGCTCGGCGCTCAAGTGGCCCTCGGCGCTGCCCAGCATCCTGCAGATCTCGCTGGCCTTCGGGCTGGCCATCGGCACGCTGGTGCAAGCCTTCGGCCCCGTCAGCGGCGCCCACATCAACCCGGCCGTCACCATCGCCTTCTTCGTGGGCAACCAGATCTCCTTCCTGCGCACCCTCCTCTACGTGGCCGCCCAGCTGCTCGGGGCCGTGGCCGGCGCCGGGATCCTCTACGGCGTCACCCCGGCCAACACCCGCGGCAACCTGGCCATCAACGCCGTGAGTGCCCGCCCGGGCCGGCCCCGGGGCCTCCTCGGCCGCCTCCTCCTCCTCGGCCTTCTCATCCTCCTCCTCGGCCTCCTCCTTGTCGTTCTCCTCATTCTCCTCCTCATCCTCCTCGTCCTTCTCCTCATCCTCCTCCTCTCATCCTCTTCCTCGTCCTCCTCCTCCTCGTCCTCAGCCTCCTCGTCCTCCTCCTCCTCCTCGTTCTCATCCTCCTCCTTCTCTTCCTCCCTTCCTTCTCCTCCTCATCCTTCTCTTATCCTCCTCCTCATCCTCCTCCACCTTGTCCTCCTCCTCCTCATCCTCCTCCTCCTCCTCCTGCTCCTCTTCCTCCCTTCCTTCTACTCCTCATCCTCCTCTCATCCTTCTCCTTGTCCTCCTCCTCCTCCTCGTCCTCCTCCTCATCCTCCTCATCTTCCTGCTCCTCTTCCTCCCTTCCTTCTCCTCCTCGTCCTCCTCTCATCCTTCTCCTTGTCCTCCTCCTCCTCCTCCTCTTCCTCCCTTCCCTCTCCTCCCCAGCCCTCCCCAGCCCCGGGAGCGGCTCCAGAGGGTTGGTTTCCCTCTGCACATCGAGGTCCCGTGGGAACTGAGGGCACTGGGAAAACTCCTCTGGCTCTAGGAAAGCTCCTGTGGCTTTGGGAAAGCTCCTTTGGCTCTGGGAAAGCTCCTCTGGCTCTGGGAAAGCTCCTCTGGCTTTGGGAAAGCTCCTCTGGCTTTGGGAAAGCTCCTCTGGCTTTGGAAAAGCTCCTCTGGCTCTGGGAAAGCTCCTCCGGCTTTGGGAAAGCTCCTCTGGCTTTGGGAAAGCTCCTCTGGCTCTGGGAAAGCTCCTCCAGCTCTGGGAACTCTCCTCCAGCCCCTGGAAAGCTCCTCCAGTACTGGGAAGGCTCTTCCAGCCCCTGGAAAGCTCCTCCAGCTTTGGGGGTTTCTCCAGTGCTGGGAAGGCTCCTCCAGCCCCGGGAAAGTTCCTCCAGCCCCGGGAAAGCTTTTCAATCCCTGGAAAGGCTCCTCCAGCCCCAGGAAAACTCTTCCAGCCCCTAAAAAGCTCCTCCAGATGTGGGAGCTCCTCCAGCCCCAGGAAAACTCTTCCAGCCCCGGGAAAGCTCCTCCAGATGTGGGAGCTCCTCCAACCCCAGGAAAGCTCCTCCAGCCCCAGGAAAGCTCCTCCAGCCCCAGGAAAGCTCCTCCAGCCCCTAAAAAGCTCCTTGAGCCCCGGGAGAGCTCCTCTAGCCCCAGGAAAGCTCTTCCAGCCCCGGGAAAGTTCCTCCAGCCCCGGGAAAGCTCCTCCAGCCCCATCCCTGGAAAGGCTCCCTCCATCCCTGGAAAGGCTCCTGCAGCCCCCCGGGAAGAGCAGAGGAGGCCGATCCACGATCCACGATCCACGGCAGCCTCGGGCAGGGGAGGGGAAGGGAGAGCTCCGGGAGCGGGGCCAGGAGCCGAGGCGGGCTCGGGAAGGAAGAGCAGGGCAGTGACACCACGACAGCTTTATTGAGCGGGGCGATGAGTGCGATGTGTTTTGTGGGTTGGTGGTTTGGGGTTTGGTTTATTTTTTCCCTTTAATAAGCGCTTCCTCTGGCCCCGAGGGCGCGGCTGAGTCACGGCCACGGCCGGGACGATCCGCGGAGCCAACGCGGCCTCCCCGCCTGGGGATTAACGCCGGGCACGGAGCCCGTGCCAGCGCGGAGGGGGAGGGAGGGAGGCAGGGAGGGAGGCACCGGAGTCCCAGTCCAACCAGTATGGGCAGCGCGGGGGGGAGCGCAAACCCCGGCGGGAACGGGGAGGGAGGGAGGGAAATACCGGGGATGAGCGGGAGGGTGTCCAGAGGCTGCTGGAGAGGAGGGGAGGAGGAAGGGAGAGAGACGGGGCAGGACCCCCCGGGAGCAGCACAGGCTCCTGGCCGAGGGATCCACGAGGGGCTCCTCGTGGCATCGCGTCCCACGTGCTCCGTGGGACACCCCAGAGCTCCGTGGGACACCCCAGAGCTCCGTGGGACATCCCAGAGCTCATGGGACATCCCAGAGCTCTGTGGGACATCCCAGAGCTCCATGGGAGACCCCAGAGCTCGTGGGACATCCCAGAGCTCCGTGGAGCATCCCAGAGCTCCTGGGAGACCCCAGAGCTCCGTGGGACACCCCAGAGCTCCGTGGGAAACTCCAGAGCTCCGTGGAGCACCCCAGAGCTCTTTGGAATATCCCAGAGCTCTGTGGGACATCCCAGAGCTCTTTGGAGCACCCCAGAGCTCTGTGGGAGACCCTAGAGCTCCATGGAAGACCCCAGAGCTCGTGGGAGACCCCAGAGCTCCTGGGACATCCCAGAGCTCCGTGGGAGACCCCAGAGCTCTTTGGAACATCCCAGAGCTCCTGGGACTCCCCAGAGCTCCGTGGGACATCCCAGAGCTCCGTGGGACATCCCAGAGCTCCATGGGAGACCCCAGAGCTCGTGGGACACCTCAGAGCTCCGTGGGAGACTCCAGAGCTCCATGGAACATCCCAGAGCTCCGTGGAAGACCCCAGAGCTCCGTGGGACACCCCGGAGCTCCGTGGGACACCCCAGAGCTCCGTGGGACATCCCAGTGCTCATGGGACATCCCAAAGTTCCTGGGACACCCCAGAGCTCTGTGGGACATCCCAAAGTTCCATGGGACATCCCAGAGCTCCGTGGGACTCCCCAGAGTTCCATGGGAGACCCCAGAGCTCGTGGGACATCCCAGTGCTCATGGGACATCCCAAAGTTCCTGGGACACCCTAGAGCTCTTTGGAACATCCCAGAGCTCCGTGGAAGACCCCAGAGCTCGTGGGACATCCCAAAGTTTCTGGGACACCCCAGAGCTCTGTGGGACATCCCAGAGCTCTTTGGAGCACCCCAGAGCTCTGTGGGAGACCCTAGAGCTCCGTGGGAGACCCCAGAGCTCCGTGGGAGACTCCAGAGCTCCGTGGAGCACTCCAGAGCTCCGTGGGACACCCCGGAGCTCCGTGGGACACCCCAGAGCTCCGTGGGACATCCCAGAGCTCTGTGGGAGGCCCCAGAGCTCCTTGGGGCATCCCAGAGCTCCGTGGGGACATCCCAGAGCAGGCAGATGGAGCTGAAAACCTGCCTGGGATGGGCTGGGTCGCTTTGTCCCCCCGTGACGCTCCCACGGGGGGTTGTGCAGAGGCACCGGGGCAAAACCAGCCCCTTGAGCCCCCCTGAGCTTCATCCCAAACCTCATCCTTCATCCCAGTTCTTACCTTTCATCCCAAACCTCTCCTTCCATCCCAACCCTCTCCCTCCACCCATTCCACTCCTCATCCCCCAGGGAAGGAGCTCCACAGCCCGAGGGGGGAAGGAAATGCTGGGAAAAGGGAATTTGGGTGGGAAAGCAGAGGCAGGGAACGGGGAGAGCCCAGGACAGGGAGGGGCTCGGTGGGGAGAAACGAATTTTGGGAGCCTTCCAAAGGGAGAGGGAGAATTCCCGTCCTTCCAGAGTGCCTGGGGGGAATTTTCACCCCATTCCCTCCCCCCAAAAAACCATCCCAGAGCCTCAGAGATCCCCCCCGGGGAGGAGGGGGTGTGTTAATGGCCCATCTCGTGCCTCGCAGCTCAACAACAACACGACGGCGGGGCAGGCGCTGGTGGTGGAGATCATCCTGACCTTCCAGCTGGCCGCCTGCATCTTCGCCTCCACCGACAACAGGAGGAGCGGCGTGGGCTCCCCCGCCATCTCCATCGGCCTCTCCGTCACCCTCGGCCACCTCGTGGGGGTCAGTGCGTCCCAAAAAACCCTCCCGGCGACAGCGCGGGGCGTCCCCTCCGGGCTGGGATGGGGTGAGGGGGTCCCAAAATCCTCCTGGAGGCAACGCGGGGCGTCCCCTCCTGGTTGGGATGGGGTGGGAGGTCCCAAAATCCTCCTGGAGGCAGCGCGGGGCGTCCCCTCCTGGTTGGGATGGGACGGGAGGTCCCAAAATCCTCCTGGAGACAGCGCGGGGCGTCCCCTCCTGGCTGGGATGGGGTGGGAGGGGAGGGGAGGTCCCAAAAATCCTCCTGGAGACAACGCGGGGCGTCCCCTCCTGGTTGGGATGGGGTGGGGGGTCCCAAAATCCTCCTGGGTTGTCACCAAGAGGGATAAACACGGGGGGTGTCCTCTCCTGGCCGGGGGTCCCCAAAATCCTCCCAGGGTTGTCACCGAGAGGGACAACGACACGAGGAGTCTCCTCCTCACTGGGGGTCCCCAAAATTCCTCCCGGGTTGTGGCCAGGAGGGATAAACACGGGGGGGGGGCGTCCTCTCCTGGCCGGGGGTCCCCAAAATCCTCCCAGGGTTGTCACCAGGAGGGATAAACACGGGGGAGGTGTCCCCTCCTGGTCGGGGGTCCCCAAAATCCTCCCAGGGTTGTGACCGGGAGGGACAACGACACGAGGTGTCTCCTCCTGGTCGGGGGTCCCCAAAATCCTCCCAGGGTGGTCACCGAGAGGGACAACGACACGAGGAGTCTCCTCCTCACTGGGGGTCCCCAAAATCTTCCCGGGTTGTGACCAGGAGGGACAACAACAACGAGGGGCGTCCCTTCCTGGTCGGGGGTCCCCAAAATCCTCCCAGGGTTGTGACCGGGAGGGACAACAACAACACAGGGTGTCCCCTCCTGGTTGGGGGTCCCCAAAATCTTCCTGGGTTGTCACTGAGAGGGACAACAACGCGGGATGTCCCCTCCTCACTGGGGGTCCCCAAAATCCTCCCGTGTTGTGGTCAGGAGGGATAAACACGGGGGGGTGTCCCCTCCTGGCGGGGGGTCCCCAAAATCCTCCCAGGGTTGTGGCCAGGAGGGATAAACACGGGGGGGCGTCCCCTCCTGGTCGGGGGTCCCCAAAATCCTCCCGGGTGGTCACCGGGAGGGACAACGACACGAGGTGTCCCCTCCTCACTGGGGTGGGTGGATTGGGGGGTTCTCCCCCCTCTGCAGCGCCGAGGGGGGAGGGGAAGGGGGGGAAGGGCCGTTCCATCCCCGGAATCCCAAAGGTTTGGTGCCGTCTGCGCCTCAGGACGGTGTCGTTTGTGCGTCCCTCCCTCCCCTTCCCCCTCCCCCCATTGACAGATTTACTTCACCGGCTGCTCCATGAACCCCGCGCGCTCCTTCGGCCCCGCCGTCATCGTCAGGAGGTTCGACCCCACGCACTGGGTGAGTGCTGGGGGGTCAGGGGGGGCTCTGACAGGGCAGGGGGGCAGAGATTGGGGCTCCCAGACCCATCCCCAGGCTGGGAAGGAGCGGGAGAACCCAGGCGGGTTGTCCCCCCCTGGAGGATTTGGGAACAGTTAAACACCTCCCCACCCCTCGGGGTGCAGGGAGGGACAGGAATTAACACCCCGTGGTTAATTAACACCCCCCCGTGGGGTCCTGGTATGGGTTGGGTTGGAGGGGGCCTGAAATCCCACTCAGTGCCAGCCCCACCTTTCCAACCCCCTGTCCCTGTTCCTGTCCCAAACCTGTCCCACCCTGTCGTGGTTCCTTTCCCAAACCTGTCTGTCCCTGTCCCATCCCTGTCTCACCCATCCCTGTTCTCCCCTGTTCCTCTCCCATTCCTGTCTCCCCCTGTCCCTGTCCCTCTCCTGTCCCCATCTCTCCCTGTTCCTCTCCCATCTCTCCCTGTCCCTCTCCCATCCCTGTCTCCCCCATCCCTGTCCCTCTCCCATCTCCTCCATCCCTCTCCCATCTCCCCCATCCCTCTCCCATCTCCCCCATCCCTCTCCCATCTCCTCCATCCCTCTCCCATCCCTGTCCCTCTCCCATCTCCTCCATTCCTCTCCCATCTCCCCTGTCCCTCTCCCATCTCCTCCATCCCTCTCCCATCTCTCCTGTCCCTCTCCCATCTCCTCCATCCCTCTCCCATCTCCTCCATCCCTCTCCCATCTCCTCCATCCCTCTCCCATCTCCTCCATCCCTCTCCCATCTCCCCTGTCCCTCACCTGTCCCTGTCTCCCCCATCCCCATCCCTCTCCCATTCCCATCTCCCCTGTCCCTCTCCCATCTCCCTTGTCCCTCTCCCGTCTCCCTCATCCTCATCTCCCTCCCTGTCCCTCTCTCGTCCCATCTCCCCTTCCTACCCCTCTCCCATCTCCCCTGTCCCTCTCCCATCCCTGTCTCCCCCATCCCTGTCCTGTCCCTGTTCCTCTCCTGGTTCCTCTCCCAAATCTTTTTCCCTCATCCCTGTCCCTGTCTCCCACCTCCCCATCCCTCTCCCATCCCCATCTCACCCCTCCCTGTCTCTCTCCCATCTCCCCTGCCCCTCTCCCACCCTCCCTGTCCTTCTCCCCCTCTCCCCTCTCCCATCCCCATCTCCCTCTCCCTGCTCCCTCTCCCGTGCCCATCTCCCCCTCCCTGCCCTCTCCCATCCCCATCTCACCCTCTCCTGCCCTCCTCTCCCATCTCCCCTGCCCATCTCCCCTCTCCCCCTCTCCCATGCCCATCTCACCCCTCCCTGCCCCTCTCCCACCCCTCTCCCATGCCCATCTCACCCCTCCTGCCCCTCTGCCCCCTCTCCCATCCCCATCTCACCCATCCCTGCCCTCTCCATCTCTCCCACCCTCTCCTGTGCCCCCTCCCTCTCCCCTCTCCCGTCCTGACCCTCCCCGTGTCCCCCCCCCAGGTTTTCTGGCTCGGGCCCATCCTGGGGGCCTGCCTGGCCTCTCTGCTCTATTTCTACGTGCTGGTGCCGTACTGCATGAACCTGTCGGACCGCGTGGCCATCATCAAGGGCACCTACGAGTCCGAGGAGGAGTGGGAGGAGCAGCGCGAGGAGAGGAAGAAATCCATGGAGCTCACCCCGCCCTAGGAGCGGGGGACGAGGAGGATCCCTCACCCCCAAAATCCCACAGCCCACGCCCCCCTAAACCCACGGGCAAGCTCGTCCTGGGGTTGTTGAGTGTAAATACCCCCCTAAACCGCCTTAAATCACCCCTCATCACCACCCCATCCCACCCTCCCGGGGTAGTTTGGGCTCCCCCTCACCCTGGGGGTCCCCCAAAGGGTGGGTGGGCTCTGGAAACCCCCCCAAAACACCCCCAAATTCGCCCCCCTCGCGGGGCCAGCGCTGCTGGTAGATGCTCTTTCCCTCCTTTCCCGGTGCTGGGGTTGTCCCTATTTATTCGTGGCTGTGCAAAACACGTGATTGATGATTTGTTTTTGGTTTTTTCCTTTGTTTTGTTGGTTTTTTTGTGTGTGGATTCCGTGTGATCTTTGTAAATAGAGCTCGTTATTTATTGCGAATAAAGGAGGTTTTAAATAATAATAATAATAATCATAATCATAATCATCCAGGGGGATGTAAACGTGCTCAGGTGTCAGAGGAATGGTCAGAGGAATTGTTGCTGTAGGAATTCCCACCTCCTGCAGCCCCTAAAAAAACTCCTTTTTTTAATAAATCCCCACTCAGCTTTGACAATTCCCAACTCCTGCAGCTCCCAGAAAACTCCTTTTTTTTTAATAAATCCCAATTCAACTCTGATAATTCCCAACTCCTACAGCCCCCCAAAAAAAAACCTCCTTTTTTTTTTATAATAAACCCCAATTCAGCTCTGAAAATTCCCACCTCCTACAGCCTCCCTCCCCCACCAAAAAAAACCTCTTTAATAAACCTTTTTATTATTCACTCCAAGCTCCTCCAACCCCCTCTGGAAATCCAGGGAATTCGGGGTTTACTGATGGATGATCCGGGGTGGGGGACAGGGGGGACAAGAGATCCATCCCCCTGTGCCGGCATTCCCTGGAGGGTGAGAATTCCCTGGAGGGTGAGAATTCCCTGGAGGCTGAGAATTCCCGGTGGGATCGGGATCGGGGCTGTTCCCGCTGCCGACTCTCCCCTTTTCGGACGTTCCTCCCTGCCCTTCCCGGGATTCCCTTTGTCCTCCGTCCCCTCCTGGAGGGGATAAAAACCGGGAGAGACCCCCCCAAGGAGCGCCCCCCAAGCCCGAGGTGCTCCCGATAAAAGGGAATTTTCCTGGAATGGCGGGATGGGCCGGGTGAGACCCGTCCTGTTCTCCGAGCCCGCCGCGATTCCCGGTCCTTCCCAACCTGTCCTTCGGCACCTCCAGGGGCAGGGAATCCACCCCCTCCTCTGGAATCAGACATTCCAGGGGCTGAGTGAAGAATTCCCTCCCCATATCCAACCCCAAACCTCCCCTGGCACAGCCTGGAGAGCTTTCCTGTCCCGCTGGAAAAAGAAAAGAAAAGAAAAGAAAAGAAAAGAAAAGAAAAGAAAAGAAAAGAAAAGAAAAGAAAAGGAAAGAAAAGAAAAGGAAAGAAAAGGAAAGGAAAGAAAAGAAAAGAAAAGAAAAGGAAAGGAAAGGAAAGGAAAGGAAAGAAAAGAAAAGAAAAGAAAAGAAAAGAAAAGAAAAGAGAAAAAGAAGAAAGAGAAAAGAAAAGAAAAGAAAAGAAAAGAAAAGAAAAGAAAAGAAAAGAAAAGAAAAGAAAAGAAAAGAAAAGAAAAGAAAAGAAAAGAAAAGAAAAGAAAAGAAAAGAAAAGAAAAGAAAAGAAAAGCAGGGGGATTAAAACGCGGCTTTGTTAAACCGCAGCCCCACGCGTGGGGATTTTAGGGTTGGTTTCCCCCAAAAAAATAATAAAAAAAGAGAGGATCGGAGCGGCAGGAGGGGCTGGGAACGGATTTATCGCAGAAAGAGGCCTCGAAAAACAAGTAGGAAAGTAAATAAACCTCCCCCCCTTGGAGAGAGTGGTGAAGGATCCGGGCCCTGCCCAGCGTTTAATCCGCCCGGAGCTCCCGCGGGCCACGAGGAGA